ACATTTCCTATATGATATATACTACGTTCGAGTGACCCATTCACAGCCGCTAGAGACTGCTATGTTCAAGCACAGTGTTGAGAATATATTGAATGTTTCCAAATGGGAATCATCATCGGCGTGAAGAGGCGATGGCCATTTGACCTCCCGGCATTGATAGAACGTGCGCCACTTTGTGGTAGCGGTCCGGAGAACCTGGCCCCTGGTGAATGTGGAGTCCTCACGACTGCGTTGGCTCACTGTGTACCAACACAGTGAAGTAGGCCACTATGTCTGTGTTGTGGCGACTATCAAGCCGTTTGAACTTTGGATGCAATGGTTAAGTGAAGTTCTTCGAGATGAAAAATATCGGTGAGGTACGGAGCAATGTCAATAAACAATCGGGGTTGTAATGCTTTTCTCTTGTTCTTGATGTCATTTCTTAAAACAGTTCTCAATTGCATATTTCGGTTTTGTGTATCTCAATATTAAAATTCCACATTGAGATTGCAAATTAAATGATTTATCGACAGTTTTTTTTTAAATCTTGCTTCTATAACTACAACACTCTCCACCAAATTGTTGCAGTTCTGCGACAAACCACGCCTAGCGTGACACGGCTGAGGATCCCGATGAAGTCATAAAGCCTTTGCCAGACACGTCCCGTCCAGCGGCACACGTGGGTACAGAGGTAAAACATTTTCCAACTATTTTCCTGTTATTCAATCACACGAGTAAAGCGGAGCGACATCCAGGTCAGTAGTTGATTACGAAAATAATCAATAGCTTTACTGAATGTCGGTCGAGTATTTGATGACTTAAGAATTTGGATATCCCAGCTCTGCTGCAGAACCACAGCGGGACGGACTGGTGCAGCTGGGCAAGGTAGAAGCAAGTAGCTGGGACCGTGCCGCGTGGGAATATCAGAGTGGAGGGATCCGTCTTTCTTTGTCCGTTAGATGAATGCGTGCTGTCTAAACACACTGCAATTAAACGAATATAAACAATTAAAATACAACTTCATATTTGTTATGCTTTAACAACAATGTTACACCGATAACACGTTAAAATGTATGCTATGATGTCAATCCTCTCTTAAGATATCCATGTAAATTATATCACTAATTCAGTTTGCAGTTTTTCAATGTCAACACAATGAAGGAATTGTATTACTGAATAGAGCAGTTGCGTTCAAGCTTTTTTTGCCTTCTTGAGTTGAAATAAATGAAGTAAAAACGATAAAGAATACATGACAAGAGAGGTTCTTATTCGTTGCACTGATGGAATGTTTCCAGTCTCTGCTCACTGAGCCTCACTGAGCCTCAATACTCTTTTTATCAGGAGGGGCCTGCAAAGTGTTTGGACTCGGGGGTGATGTTGCTGCTCTTTATAATCCCAAGTGAGTTATTTGTATTCTGTTCAGCATTGGAACGTTTGGTTGATTTCAGTTTTGGCTTTAGAACAAAACCAGAGAAGCTGGAGGAAACCCGTGCAGAACAGGGAGAGGACGTCCACACTCCACACACAAAGGCACACAGAGCCAGTAATGTAACCGAGAGCCTTCCTCCTGCGAGGCACAGAAGCGTTACCACTGTGCAACCCTGCCACCCAGTGGACCTGAAGGTGGGGGCACGCAGACCAACGCTGGGTTTTGACTGCACCACCCTCGACAGCCCACAACGCCTATTACGCCTCTCCGTTTGCACATGGTGGTCACCCGTGCACCCATTCAGGCTCAATCGTGCTTAGCTCCCCAGATATGACAAGATCGGCCACAAAACAGGTGATCTGGTCAGACGCAAAATAATGCATAAGAACACGAACATTGACATTTAAAGCATTACAAGGTCGCTGGTTAGATTTCATCTCCCGCCGTGGCAGTTAAAACGGACATGGTTTCTCAAAAAACCTCTCAAATACACCCTCTAATAACCCCTCAACTAACCCCTCTAATAACCCCTAAAATAACCCCTCAAACAATCCCTCAAAAAACCCCTCAGTCCACACAGAAGTATAAATGGGTTCACCATCGCAGTTAGTCGATGGGCAAGTCGAGTGTGGTGGGGTAAAGCGTGGGTACACCCACGTTTTCCAACAGATCTTTCCGACGTGGAAGAGTAGACAATATACTCGCTTAGTCTAGAGCGTGCCATAACGAAGACCTTTCCGCCAGCAATTGCAAAAGCTTTCAAATTTTTTTTTAAGTAAATTGTTATATTCTGATAATGTCTAAGTATATATAAAACAATAAACGTTAACAAACAACACGACATATAGAGTTACTTAGAGATAGAGCAGGAATGAAAAACTCCGCGGTGATCTGGGGGGACCACCTCGAGGATCCTGTGACGCACAGCCACCCCCGCGCGGCTCGACTTGTCTCCAGGGCACGAAGGTTTGCGCTGACGCGGTGTGCCCGCGGAGTTTGAGATGAATGAGCCATACGCGATACCAATACAGTGCTCCACAACAACATTGACGACACTTGTGCGGATTATAGCGAAAGCAAGGCACGTGGCTAATGGATAAAGTTATCCGCTGTGTATTCACGAATTTAGGGGTTGGAAACCAACACACATGGGTATATCTTAAAGGATTGTTTGCATTTTTTCAGATTAGATATCCCAGTATAAAAATACAAAAATAACTTTCTCCTCAAATCATGTCAGCACAGCTGGTCTGTGCAACATAAACAAAACAATACAAATTGCTCAATTAAAAACTTACCTCCGCATTCTCCCTGCAGCTCCAATCGGCGGCTTCCCGTTCGCCTCGCCCACTGCTACAGACCACAGTTCGCGGTCCGCATAGCGAATTCAATCCACCGTGGCGTGCCACGAGGAGTCACAACACCGCTGATTATAATCCACACATTACAGGGATTCGCGGATTGCTGGATTTCGCTGTATTGTCTTAAAATAAATGTTAAATTAAGCCTAAAATAACAATACGTTCATACATTTATAGTGTTCGATTTCACTCGGACAACTGTCTTTCTTCGAACACCGCTTTATTTAAAACTCTCAGCATGTCCTCCACATTCCACAGTATCCTGGTCGCCACGGCTCGCTCGCCGTGCTTCACTCGACTCGCTCGCCACCTTTGTCTCTCCACTCCCCACGATTACTTCGCTTACTTCCCACGATTACTTCGCTTACTCCGCCGCTAACTTCTTCGTCTCCACTCTCCGCTATCACCGTCGCTATGTTCTCTCCACTGCTAACTGCTTCGTCTCTGTTCACCGCTATCACCGTCACTATGCTCACTCCACTGCTAACTGCTTCGTCTCCTGTTCACCGCTATCACCGTCACTACGCTCTCTCCACTGCTGGCTGTTCTCTTCTTCAGCTCCGCTATCACTACGCTCTCTCCACTGCTGGCTATTCTCTTCTTCACACACAGCGTCTTCGCACACAGCCACTTAGCACACAGCGACTTCACACAGCGTCTTTGCACTCAGCAACTCCACCCTTCAACTCTTCACTCCAACTCTCCTAAGCTCTCCGCTCTTCAACTCAACTCTGTTGACACCGACTCCCACTCTTATACCCGCTCTCATTACACCCCCAATTAATTAACCCGCGTCCCAACGGCACTCCGCGTGACCGTCATCTGTTTCTCGCCAGACTTCCAGACGCCTCTCCAGCCCCGGCAACAGCACCAACCAATCACAGCCGTCCACGGCTACCCCAGCTTAATTGCCCCAACATAACCTGCACTGTATTTGCCTTCACTACAGGCTGATCCAAGATAACCCGTACATTCTAGATTTGAAGCTTTCGTGACTGCAAGGATTCATACTCTTTGGTTCTATTCGGTAAAGTCACGTAGGCAAAACAAATAAAAATAAATTGAACTAAAATGAAAGAAACAATTAAAACACGACGTTTCGGAGGCAAAGCAAGCTTCCGTCTTCAGGTGGGACCAGTCACAGCAAAATCGCTGCACCAAGTGGTGAGGTTCTGGGAACCTCGAGCTTAAATACAGGTTGAGGATGGGGGGGGGGTGTGTGAGAGGGGCCATGTAGGGGACTTTAGTGGAGTGCGGAGCTGAGTTAATCCGTCTTTTGTTGTGTAGATGGGTCATTGTGTGTGTGCAATATAAACGGGAAAAAATAGAAGAAAATTAAAGATGATCGTCGATGATGTGCTGTACGAGGCCAGTAGAAAAAAGGGAAATAGAAAAGTTCAGAAAAAAATGTTTGGTATACCACTGCTTGAAATTGCTGTTAGAAATTAGTTAACGTTTGGTATGATTTAAAACGTCTTTCCAGTGGTTGCTTAATTTGAAACCATCCTCTCGGTTGAAGTTATGCCTGTGTTTGTATATCTGAATGGCTTCGTGGACAAATCTTTGGTGATAACCTGTAGGTTTACAAAGAACCCTGCCCCTGTACAGCACATCCTCGACGATCTTCTTTAATTTTCTTCTATTTTTTTCCCGTTTATATTGCACACACACAATGACCCATCTACACAACAAAAGACGGATTAACTCAGCTCCCACACCCCCCCCCCCCTCAACCTGTATTTAAGCTCGAGGTTCCCAGAACCTCACCACTTGGTGCAGCGATTTTGCTGTGACTGGTCCCACCTGAAGACGGAAGCTTGCTTTGCCTCCGAAACGTCGTGTTTAAATTATCTTTCATTTTAGTTCAATTTATTTTAATTTGTTTTACCTACGTGACTTAGTCACGCTGTTTGTGCTACGCACCTTCCTACTCCACTACACATTAATACAAAACGCGCGGGGATTACTATGCAACTTGTATTCCTGCTATCGCTATGAAATGTGATTACAAATAAACCACGGCTTTTATCTTTGCGAGAGATGAGGGCAGCATCGCGGTCTGTCCGCACGCGGTGCCGAGTCATCTGCGCGCACCCCACGTGAGGGGCCCCGCCGGCCTGCGGCCACGCTCGGTGGCGACTGCCACGTGGCGAGCCGCGTGCTCGTCACGTGCCTGGCCAGCGATGACGTCGGAAACGACATATCCAGCCTTTTCAAAAATGGGTACGTCATCGAATTTTATTGGAACATATAAAATGACATCCAACATTACAAAAAAAAACATCGAGTGGTGTGCTTAGTGAGGCATCACTCGCATGCAGTGCTGTGGTGCTCCAGCACAGTGAGAAGCAGCAGCGGCACTGAGTGGAGCGCAAGGCGGTGGTGTGACCATCGCGGAGCCACGAGGCAGCCACGGCTCGTGATCGCACCCTGAGAGATGACAACACTTGGTTCGTCCAGTCGCCCCTCGCCATTATAGAATGCAAACAATGTCCTTCAAAACGTGTGTGTGTGTAATACGTTTCTCCACTGCCCTACAAGTGTTGCTGCTCTATCAATTGGCTGCACGCGCGTGACAATGGTCGTGGTCACATGGCCTAGCAGCAGCTCCCAGCAGCTTCCCTTCTCTGCCTCGTGCTCAGCGAGGGCGACTCCCACTCTGGCGTCACCAACAGCAGCAGCAGAATCGTCCAGTGTAGCTGCACTTCAAGTAGCGACACCTCAGGGTGAGCCCTGCGGAGCTGCCACAGGTGTCAATCGCCGCGCTGAGGCAGCGGTGCAGCGCCCGTGCTGGGGGATGGCTGGAGAGCTGCGCACTCATGCGGTGTGGTGCGCGACCCATGGCTCGCGCAGTTCTATTGGGAACCGCACGTTAGGCGAATGGAGATGTCAAGTGAATGTGGCTCCTGTCTCTGCAGACGCCAGAGGCTGCTCCCTTGCCAGGGCTCACAGCCGGCGCCCCAGCAGCAGCAGCAGCTCGAGTGGGACTGCGCCTGTGTGCAGGGAGCTGAGTGGACCCTGTGCCATCACTGAATCTGAGTGAGCTGCATATAGCGTTATAACTGTTTTTGGCCAACATAAAGCACGTTTATAGAAATACAATCTGAATCAATTCCTTAATAAACTACTTTGCCTGTTTGCATAAAGCGTTATAGCTGTTTTTGGCCAACATAAAGCACGTTTATAAAATACAATCTGAATCAATTCCTTAATAAACTACTTTGCCTGTTTGCCATGAAAAACAACACATTTCACGTACTGTACTAGCACACACAGCATACTGGGAAACAACGTGCCAAGAAACCGTGTTTTTTCTGTTAATATTTAAAAATTATTTCCAATGTCTTGTAGGGAACGTAGTCTGTTCATTGGTGCTTAGATGGAAACCAAACCCTACCATAGGCTGCTAAAGATGCCAGTAATGTACAGTTCTGGTAATTATTGTAATCGTCGCCACAGCGTCTCTCCTGTCAGACCTGAGCTCTTCATGCCCTCGTTTGGATTAACAAAGAGCTGCAAATCCTGCAGCCACTTCAAAACGAATGAGTGGGCTCGAGAGGAGACCGGAACACTGCCAATGTGAGTTACCAGAACCATGAACTAGAGGCATCTCCTTCTCGAAGCGAGCAGTGGGTTTGGATTGCTCGTTGCCACCTTTTGCTCTCGCTCGCCCCACACAAGGGCCTGCTGATAAAGACGAAGGGAGGGAGGGGGGAGACACAGGCCACTGGAGCATTGAGATTGACAGTTCCGTATTTAAAAGAGGGGTGTTTTAGGTACATTTCAAAGGACCATGCCTAATCACTCCAGTGAAGAGTGGTCAACAAACAGGGACACTTTAGGGCAGTCTCAATGACTCACAGACCTCAGGAGACAATGGTGCGTGGCATCACAACTGTGTATAACTCATCGACATATAACGAAGCCACAGAAGACGCTCTCCCGTCACGAGAGGGGACAGTGTCTGTGGATGAATGGGGATGGAGGTGTTGGCTGAGATTAATAAACGTGCGCGTCCATTCTGCAGGGTCCCCTGGGTAGAGCTCCCAGGGACGACTCGGGCAGGGAAGTGGGACTGGGTGACGCTGTGGCCATGGAGGTCACGATGACCGTGACGGTGTGAGCGGTGTAAACTGGGGGCACGCGGAGGTGGGGAGTGGGAGCTGGGTGCCAGTGGACCACAGCAAGGGGCAGGCAGCGCCACTAGCCCGAGTCAAAATCCACATTGAGTGTGTTGTCTGGGTTGTTTTATTATTTAATCTCAGGTGGTAATTCGGCTCGAGCACCAATGGTGACGCTACACACCCTACAAGACACACGCAACTTTGAGCTCTAGTCCAGGTATCAAAAAGTCAATTCCTCATTATGTTTAAGAAGCTGTCCCAGTACAATGCATGCACAATATTCCAAATATAAATTGTAAGCATAATTATCCATCTAAAACGTGTGCCCTGGCACGATACAAATCACTAATGAGACGGTGAAGGTGTGTTGCATTTATCGCCAGGCATACTGCACAAGTTGTGCTGCATCGGATCCAGCAGCACACCGCGGCCCTACACCACGGCTCCATGCGGGGATGTGGAGGAGCCGAGAGGGAGAGATGGGACCGGCCGCATCAACTCCTCCCTCAGCCGCTGCTGCCACCGGCGACGCGGCTCTGGGAGTGCCACTCGAGCCGTGGGTGTCACGGCTTTGGGTGCTGCGGATTGCGATTCATGACCAATCGGCATCGAATGGCTCTTTTGAGCGATACAGGTTACTCAGCAGACGTATACTATAAGAAACACGGGCGTTAACAGTATTCACTGCCTTGGCGACTCGATTAAACATCTCACTTATGTCACAATGTAATGAACACGTCGATTCATATTTGGCCCGTGTGCTGCATGTAGACTAAAGTATGATTTAATTGTATTCTCTGTAGTGATAACATTATTTAAATATAACCAGAATTTATACCCACAAAACTTGATACATATCTTAAATATAGGGATCGATTTTAATCAATGAATCGGTATACCCCTATGTATCCCCTAAAGTTTGCTGTTATAATTGTAAAATTCAGTTATTTAAAATCAGGAGTACAATATATAGTGTAAATATCATTCATCTTACAACTATTTATATGCATATGACAATGGTATTCACTTTGTAGAAAATGGCAAATTGCATTCAAGAGGTTTTGTTAATCACAGTAGCTATGGTATACCGAGTTACGTCAATTTGCACATTATCAATTTCAATTTGCAGAAAGCGCAACAACGCACACGGTCAACGTGTAACTAAAACACAGAACACACAGGTTTTCTATTCCTGCTATTTATGCATTAGCAGAGTCATTATCTACCATCTGCAATGTTAATGGGATGGCAGGAGCATTTGGGATTAGGTTTTTAATATTAGCAGACTCCCTCATGTACACGCACAAGCATGCCCTGTCATAACCTGCATGCAGGCTTGGATTGTCATGTGATATTCAGAGAGAATCTGATACTGAGTAAATGGTTAAGAGGAAGATAACGAATGACGGGACCAGGAACACATTTGTGCTGCGTGCTGAACTCATCGTGAGTCCTGTGCACAGCACGAGCTCAGTGCACGTTTGGGGTGTGAGCAGTGAACGCGGTGCCCTGTGGGGCTTGATCACCGCCACCTGTAGTAAGCAAGCCGGGCGTGTGCACTCTGCCAGTCACCCGAGCTATTTTACATAACCTGGGCATTCTTTGTTTACAGGGTATATTGGGGCTCCCCTAATTCCATGTAATGGGCACTGCAAAACATAATGACCAAACATTCCAGGGAGATGCGTGCAACACACTCCCCTAGGACGTTGTGCATCCCCTGTGATTGAGCTGACTGTAACACTGCCCTGACAGCAAATCTTCCCATTGTCTGTTTTTGCAATAAAAATAATTTGGCAATAAATGTATGTAAACTGTTCATGCTTATGCAACTATGTTCAAGTGCTGAATGCCAATATTAAGGTCTGCTAGCCACATTAGGGATTATAGAGAGAGTTGGTGTCGTTTTTAATTACTCCTCCATTGACGGAGTGCAGACCACAGTGGTTTAGTCTGTGGTCCATAGTTTGGGATGCATGGCCACAGTCGCACTGTGGCTTGTATTTAAGTTTTCCTTCATGAAGGGGATGTGCGCAGTGGCTGGCTGATGTTCTGACGGTTACACCAGTGTCAACGCCAGCAGGGGCGATGTTTGGATCTCGATTTGGCTGTTTGTTCTAATTACTGTTTATGAGCGACTCAAGAGCAAAGACATTTTCCAAAAGTGCTTTTGCTAAAGGACATGAAACTAACATTTATATTATTGTGATATGTGTAACTACTAATCACGAGTGTGAAGTGTGTGTAATTATGTATAGACAATTATTAACACATCATTATTCCCCATTTTCATGATGAAGCCATTACAATGTAAAAATCTAATAATATTTAAACATTTTAAGAAGAACAAATCACGTTCAGTGGAGCAAAAAGGATTGCGTAAAATAACACCTATGCTCAAGATTATTGAATTGTAAAGTGAATATGAGCGGTGGTGACGCCCCATTCCAGAAGATCTCTTCGTGCCGGGCAAGTTGCGCTCAGCGTGTGGTCACGGCCCGCTGGCGCTACATGATAGCGCAGCCCCAAGAGTCTGTAAGAGAATACGGTTGCCAGTGATGAGCAGAGGGCCACAATGACTCACAGATTACAGCGCTGCACCTGCGTCGCATGCCGTGCATGTCCTTCACACAAGTGCCGTGCACAGCCTCTGTGCAAAGCACAGTGTGTCAGACTGAAACGTGGCAGAAACACTTCTAATGAAAGAGCTGTATGCCCAACAAAGTCGATGTGACAAGTACGTACCTTGCTTTGTTGCCTCTGCCTTTGCTTTCACCTGTAGAAATAGAAGACATACAATCAGAGCGAATCCAGCAGAACTACGCTGTGTCCTGTGTGGCTCTGAAGGAGCTCCATTGGTTAGCAATGTAAATCCACACCATCTGGCTGCAGTAGAATTTTGTTAAGAAAGGTGGTTTTTACTCTAACGGAAAAAAATATACGATACTCTTTTTATTTTACTCGGTATATAGCTCTTTTTCAGAAGCAACCTGACACAAATGAAGTTTCTAATTGTGGAGAGACAAACTGGAAGACCTAGATAAAAATCCACACGACCACGGGAAGAATATGCAAACTCCAAATATACAGGCGCCAGGGTCGGCATCGAACCCACGACCTCCTGTATACCATGTGAGTTAGTTAACACCTCGCCACCGCGGCGCCCACAATGTGTTTAGTTTTAATACGTCATGATTCTTAAGCGTGAGTGCCAAAGTTCTATAAGTCACAGAAAAATGTGCCAAATAACAAGCAGTTGTGTGCCCATAAGTGGTCACTTGCGTTCACCTTTTCAAGCAAATGCAATTCACTAAGTCTTGAGGAATAAAGTATTGTGCCGAATGTGAAAGGTGACAACATCTAGCCTCTGTTTTTTTAGCAGCGGGCTTCTTTCAAGCCAGTGCAATGACACCTACCTCTGGGACAGGCGCTTTCAACGTGGGTGCAAGCATGGCCGTCTGGAAATAAAATGTAACATTTTGGGAAATTCACATCCAAATAACGAGGTTTAAACAAATAACTAAAACATATCACGGAACCAAACTTGTCAAGACACCACTGCAGAAAGTCACGCGATTGACCTGCAGTCTCAATGGTAAGCCAGTGCTATTACTTGTGTCAAAGGTAAGCCAGTGTTATTGCTTGTGTGTCAGTGGTAAGCCAGTGCTGTTGCCTGTGTCTCAGTGGTAAGCCAGTGCTGTTGCTTGTGTGTCAGTGGTAAGACAGCGCTATTGCTTGTGTCAATGGTAAGCCAGTGCTGTTGCTTGTGTGTCAGTGGTAAGTCAGTGCTATTGCTTGTGTGTCAGTGGTAAATCAGTGCTGTTGCTTGTGTGTCAGTGGTAAGTCAGTGCTGTTGCTTGTGTGTCAGTGGTAAGCCAGTGCTGTTGCTTGTGTCAGTGGTAAGCCAGTGCTATTGCTTGTGTCAGTGGTAAGCCAGTGCTGTTGCTTGTGTGTCAATGGTAAGTGAGTGCTGTTGCTTGTGTGTCACTGGTAAACCAGTGCTGTTGCTTGTGTGCCAGTGGTAAGTCAGTGCTGTTGCTTGTGTCAGTGGTAAGCCAGTGCTATTGCTTGTGTCAGTGGTAAGCTAGTGCTGTTGCTTGTGTGTCAGTGGTAAGTGAGTGCTGTTGATTGTGTGTCAGTGGTAAGTCAGTGCTGTTCCCTGTGTGTCAGTGGTAAGCCAGTGCTGTTGCTTGTGTGTCAGTGGTAAGTGCTGTTGATTGTGTGTCAGTGGTAAGTCAGTGCTGTTCCCTGTGTGTCAGTGGTAAGCCAGTGATGTTGCTTGTCTCACTAGTAAGTCAGCGCTGTTGCTTGTATCTCAGTGGTAAGCCAGTGCTATTGCTTGTGTTTCAGTGATAATTTTATTAGATTATACAGGTAGGAACAACAGGTTCCACGCTGCCCACCAGGGATTATTTGTCTGTCTGTCGTGCATATCCGGAATTCCATCCGCATAATTGGAGTTTTGGCACAAGGTCGACTGCCATGCTGTTAGACTGAATGGCTGCACGGGGGGGGGGGGGGGGGGGGCAGTCGCGCAACGCCAAGAGCATCGCGGCCTTCGCCAGCGCGGTGGTGGCCCGGGTCGTGCGCACCGAACCGGCAATCACGCCGGTGGCGATCGCCACGGTGCTTGTGCCGCAGCAACCAAACGGCTACGACTGTGGCGTCTACGCCCTGCTCAACACCATGCACCTGGTGCGCGATTACGACGGCATCATGGCCATTCAAGGACCAGGTCAGGTGGATTGGCGCACGTGGCACACGCAAGAGGCAGCGTCACAGCACAGGCGCGACCTGCTGCAGCAGCTGCATGAACTTAATGACCAACATCAGCAATAAATCAAGAATTATCATTAGATGCAATAGTAACACCTATAACCTCCAATACGACTACGGTATCCAACACGGATCGCACGAATGCGCTGTCCAACTAAGTTCCTACCTGCCCACTCCGAAGGAACGTGTTTTATGTAGCCTAATATCAATATCCATGAAATTTGCTATTCACAAGCATCTCTAGAATATATCCCTCGCGAATAACGAGGGAATACTGTATCTCATTGCTAAGCCAAGTGCTATTGCCTGTGCCCTTCTCGGAATCGAGTTTTTCAAACAGGAGCAATGACACTCACCTTTAGGACATGCGCTTTCAATGATGGAACAAGCACGGCCGTCTGAAAAGACAAAATTTGACAATTTACATTTCACTAATGAGAATAAAAAACTGTGGAAAGTATTTTTAAAAAGTAACAAAGCAATCTCATGAAGCCCACGCTCCATAAAGTTGCACTTTTGACCTGCAGTCTTGATGGCAGGTCAGTGTTATTGCCTGTATTTCATCTTGCAGTCAGTGCTATTGCCTTATTTGATCTTGCAGTCAGTGATATTGCCTGTATTTCATCTTGTAGTCAGTGCTATTGCCTTATTTGATCTTGTAGTCAGTGCTATTGCCTGTATTTCATCTTGTAGTCAGTGCTATTGCGTGTATTTCATCTTGTAGTTAGTACTATTGCGTGTATTTCATCTTGTAGTCAGTGCTATTGCCTTATTTGATCTTGCAGTCAGTGATATTGCCTGTATTTCATCTTGTAGTCAGTGCTATTGCCTTATTTGATCTTGTAGTCAGTGCTATTGCCTGTATTTCATCTTGTAGTCAGTGCTATTGCCTGTATTTCATCTTGTAGTCAGTGCTATTGCCTGTATTTCATCTCAGTCAGTGCTATTGCCTGTATTTCATCATGGAGTCAGTGCTATTGCCTGTATTTCATCACAATCAGTGCTATTTCTCACTTCTCAACATGTCGTTAAACTAGGCAATATATGTTACTGATAAAGTTAACCCAGCTCAAGTGAAAATAGACCTATGCCTGTAGCATACAGTAATGGTGTGTGCCCTGTTAAACAATAAAAATCTGCTTTAACAAGAAAACTAATCATGACATTAATACAGGCTGGAAACAAACAGATCTAAGAATAGACAAGGGTGTGCATTGATTGTGCAAAAGCTCTCAGCCTTAACCACATTTCTTAACCCTTTGAATTGGTGGTCTAAATGCAAAAAAAGGCAACACATTCAGTTATATTCTTAGTTTTTTTTCGGTAAAGTCACGTTGAAGAGAAACAACAAAATAATAAAATATATATAAAACAATAAAAATTCTCACGACGTTTCGACCATAACTCAAACGGTCGTCTTCAGGTGTGTTGGTTCGCATAAATTTATTTTTAAACGGCGCATTTATTTATAAAAAAATAAAAAAAAACGGTTAGCGCCACGCGCAACGATTTGGCAGTTTACCCAGGACTAGTCCATCTATATTCTGAAAAGAGGAGGGGGGAGACGAAATTTTTTATAATGTATGCTGTCTGAAAGCCACTGTAAGCGTGAACAATCAATTAAGACCTGAAATGGTTTATCAAATCTTTCCAATGATTGCTAAGATAGAATCCATCTTCTCGGTTGAAATTGTCTCTGTGCTTGTATATGTGGATAGCCTCATGAACGAATCTCTCATGGAAGCCAGATGGCTTACAAAGAACCTCTGTCTTGGAAAAGTCAATGGCATGTGAGCCTACTGAATTAGAACAATGATCTGCCACGGCCGAGGTGTTGGTCCTACCGTGTTTAAGGTCTGCTTTGTGTTCACGAATGCGGTCCGAGACATGTCGTTTGGTTTCTCCAATGTAACTACTACCACAGAGGCAACTTAGTTTGTAGACACCAGGGTATTGTATGTCCGGAATCACATCTTTTACAGACGGAACCAGATCACGGATTTTATGTAATGTGTTGAAACGGACCTGGATCTTGTGTTTATTCAAGATTTTGGAGATCTTTTTTGTGATCCCAGCAATGTAGGGTAAAGTGATGGTTTTGAAAGGCTCCTCAAGAGGGTTTTTCTTCATGGTTTGAGTGATAGCTTTGCGGATTGTATAGTCGGAGTAACCATTAGCCCTAAGAGCTTGGTGTACGTGCTTGAGTTCACTGCTTATGTGTTCCTGGTCGGATATGCATTGGGCTCTATGATACAGAGTCTTGATGAGAGAATTCTTCTGTGATGGATGGTGGTGGGAATCCGGTTTCAGATAAGCATCCGTATGGGTAGCTTTCCTGTAGACAGAGTGGCTCATTGAACCATCAGGTCTCTTTTTAATTAGGACATCCAAAAAAGGTATCTTGCCATCTATTTCGACTTCCATGGTAAATCTGATGGCTGGGTGTATGGAATTGATGTGGTCGAAGAATTGGTCTAGAGCAGGCCGGCCATGTGGCCAGATGACAAAAGTGTCATCCACGTACCTCTTCCATAAGGTTGGGCGCAGAGTGGCAGTCTGGATGGCGTCAGTCTCAAATTTCTCCATGAAAATGTTAGCTATAACTGGAGAAAGGGGGGAGCCCATTGGGGTGCCCTCAGTTTGTTTGTAGAAAGTTCCATTCCAAGTGAAGTATGTATTGGTTAAACAGTGTCTCACCAGGGGGGGGTACCTCAGTGTTTAGTCCTTGATGAACTAAGTCTTCAATGATTGCAATGGTGTCAGGTACAGGAACCTTGGTGAATAAGGAAACTACATCAAAACTGACAAGCAGGTCGTCTGGGGACAGGGAAATACCCTTGATTGTCGATACCAGGTGAGTAGAATTTTGTACCGCAGAGGTGGTCTTTCCAGTGAAAGGACGCAGGATTTCAGACAAAAAACGAGCTAGTTTGTAGGTGGGGGAGCCGATAGTAGAGACTATGGGACAAAGGGGTGTATCTACTTTATGTATTTTTGGTAAGCCGTATAATCTTGGTGGCCTGGCAGCAGAAGGTTTCAACGAAAACTGTTTAGATTGATCAATTAATGCGGTTGAATCAGAAATTATTTTGTTGGTTTGTGTGACGAGGCTGTTGGTGGGATCCCTTTTTATTTTTGTATAACTACCATCGTCGAGTAATTCTTTAATTTTGTTGTTGTATTCTATTTTATCCATGATGACAGTAGCATTGCCTTTGTCAGCTGAGAGGACTACAATATCATTCCTCTTTTTTAATTTATATAATTCAAAACGCTCATCTTTGCTGAGGTTGCTAGCTGGCATCTTAGCGTTTTTGAGGGTTGCAGCGATTTCAGATCTTGCTACGTCTGCAGCGATGTGACCCAGGCCCCTGAGAGCAACGTCTACTTGGGCAATTATATAATTAACTGGTATGTGTTTAGGTGTGACTGCAAAGTTTAGACCTTTAGCTAAAACGGATTTCAGACCATCGGAAATAGAACTGTTACTGCGATTAATTACGACTTTATTAACGTCTAACTTTTTGGTGTGTGGGTCCGGTCTTTTGTTGAAGAGGAGGTTAAATTTGGAAATCAGGTTTTCCTTACATTTGGTCAACATAGTAGCAGCTGAAGAGGCAGTCATATTGTCTACATGTTCCCAATCCGATGTGGACATTGTTGCCGTCAATGATAAGTGTGATTTGTAGAGTGTCTTGTCTAACTGATCTAGTTCGGTGCGTATAAGTCTGATTTTTTCTGAGATAAGAGCTAAGCTAGTTTTGAAAAGAATTCGTTTCGCATTAGAAGAAGTTACAGCAGCAGAGGTCAGTGTAAATGCGATTGGTATTACCCCAGAGTCGCGGCATCTCTTCAGGAAGGTGAGAGACTCGATCAGCTGAGCTTTCTTATCCCGGAGTTTGTTGAAGGATCTTAAAGTTATGCGAAAACCCTCCCCGTAGAGGTGATTAAATTTTGATTTAAAGCTTTCGTGACTGCAGGAATTCATATTCTTAGTTTTTTTTTCGGTAAAGTCACGTTGAAGAGAAACAACAAAATAATAAAATATATATAAAACAATAAAAAAAATATCACGACGTTTCGACCATAACTCAAACGGTCGTCTTCAGGTGTGTTGGTTCGCATAAATTTATTTTTAAACGGCGCATTTATTTATTTATAAAAAAACGTTAGCGCCACGCGCAACGATTTGGCAGTTTACCCAGGACTAGTCCATCTATATTCTGAAAAGAGGAGGGGGGAGATGAAATTAGATTTACCATGGAAGTCGAAATAGATGGCAAGATACATTTTTGGATGTCCTAATTAAAAAGAGACCTGATGGTTCAATGAGCCACTCTGTCTACAGGAAAGCTACCCATACGGATGCTTATCTGAAACCGGATTCCCACCACCATCCATCACAGAATAATTTTCTCATCAAGACTCTGTATCATAGAGCCCAATGCATATCCGACCAGGAACACATAAGCAGTGAACTCAAGCACGTACACCAAGCTCTTAGGGCTAATGATTACTCCGACTATACAATCCGCAAAGCTATCACTCAAACCATGAAGAAAAACCCTCTTGAGGAGCCTTTCAAAACCATCACTTTACCCTACATTGCTGGGATCACAAAAAAGATCTCCAAAATCTTGAATAAACACAAGATCCAGGTCCGTTTCAACACATTACATAAAATCCGTGATCTGGTTCCGTCTGTAAAAGATGTGATTCCGGACATACAATACCCTGGTGTCTACAAACTAAGTTGCCTCTGTGGTAGTAGTTACATTGGAGAAACCAAACGACATGTCTCGGACCGCATTCGTGAACACAAAGCAGACCTTAAACACGGTAGGACCAACACCTCGGCCGTGGCAGATCATTGTTCTAATTCAGTAGGCTCACATGCCATTGACTTTTCCAAGACAGAGGTTCTTTGTAAGCCATCTGGCTTCCATGAGAGATTCGTTCATGAGGCTATCCACATATACAAGCACAGAGACAATTTCAACCGAGAAGATGGATTCTATCTTAGCAATCATTGGAAAGATTTGATAAACCATTTCAGGTCTTAATTGATTGTTCACGCTCACAGTGGCTTTCAGACAGTATACATTATAAAAAATTTCGTCTCCCCCCTCCTCTTTTCAGAATATAGGTGGACTAGTCCTGGGTAAACTGCCAAATCGTTGCGCGTGGCGCTAACGTTTTTTATAAATAAATAAATGCGCCGTTTAAAAATAAATTTATGCGAACCAACACACCTGAAGACGACCGTTTGAGTTATGGTCGAAACGTCGTGAGAATTTTTTACTGTTTTATATATATTTTATTATTTTGTTGTTTCTCTTCAACGTGACTTTACCGAAAAAAACTAAGAATATGAATTACTGCAGTCACAAAAGCTTTAAATCAAAACATTCAGTTATTTTAAACTGGTGTTCTGGATAAGCTTTTGTACATCATCATAATCACGATCCATAGGCAGATAGCCCGTAGATGTCCACTGCACATGTCATCATTTGTTTCCACTTTCTTCTGTCTTGTGCCAATATGCTCAAGTAGTGCCACATCTTTCTGGCACACATTTCCTATGTCGTAGTTCAGCCATTTTCTGTTAGGTCTTCCTCTCTTTCCGGTTCCATCCACTTTTCCAAACAACACAATTTAAATGTTCCTGTTGTCCATCCTACATATGTATCCTAATAGTGACTGTTTCTCTGTCATTACTGCCTGCATCACCAGTTCTTCTTCTACGTGCAACCTTTTTCTATTTCTATGTTGGTCACCCTTTGGGTCCAGCTTAGATGCAGTATCCTTCTGTAGCAATACATTTTGATTGACAATATCTCATCTCTGTCAGTCTTTTTCAATGTCCAAGTCTTGCAGGCATACAAATCTGTACTGAACACGCATATTCTTAAAATGTTCAGTTTGGTCTTGGTTGCTGAATTGATTGCTTCTCTAGATGTTATTCAATCCTGCCATTACTCCTTTTGGCTTTGCGATCCTCGCTCTTATGTCTTTCATGCAGTCGTTGTCCCATGTCAGTAGATTTCCCAAGTATACAAAATCCTTTTCATTCACAATCTTGCTGTTTTCTAGTATTGATTCTTTCTTAATATCCTCCTTTCCGAACACCGTCGTCTTTGTCTTGTCCACGTTAATCCTCTGTCGTTCATTCGTTCCTGCTAATTCAGCTTATGAAGATTTTTCTGCAGTACTATGCAGCTTTCTTACATCAGAGAGATCTATGTCGTCCGCAGATCTCAGATTATATATTCTTTCTGCTTGCACAGATATTCCTGTGCCATTTTCCTGAATGGCATCCATCACTCTTTCAAGTTTGTAACGAAGTTGTTTGGTGATAGTGGATCTCCCTGTCACATGCCTATAGTTGTTAGGACCCATTCTTCTATTTCCTGTCCAAACTTTACTGCTGACTTTGACCTTTCTCCTATATCCTGCAGAATCTGTATCAGTCTTTACCCTACTCCGTATGATCTTAATGTTGCCCACGTTATATATATTTCTTCATCAAATCTAATGCTTTCTGGAAATTTATGAAACAGTTGTAAACCAGCCTATTCTTCTCTTTGCTTTCTCAAATATCATCAAGATTTGCTGTACTGTGTTCCTATCTTTCCTAAACCCTGCCCGTTCATATGCCAAATAATGATCAGTTTGTGCTTTTATACAATTTAATAATACGTTCATTAGTACCCCTTCCCCATGTGGATCATTAGTGCAATAGTTCTGTAAATTTTACAATCGGTGAGATCTCCTTTCTTGGGTATGATGACAAGTATAGATTTTGTCCACTCCTCCAGTATTTTCCCTTCTCTCCATACTTGCTTGGATAGCCCATAGATTTCCTTATAAGTTTCTTCCCTCCAGCTTTAACAATTTCTCCGCTGATTCCATCCACTTCTGGACTTTTGCTTTTCTTCAGATTTTTTATTGCCTTTTCTACTTCTTCATACAAAATGTTATCATTTTCATCATCACCTTGGTGACAAGATGGCCACACATTGAGTCAGTTTGTGTCTGGACAAAGCTGTTGTTCATGTGTAACGTCACCTAAATTTGACTATATAAACAGTAAGAGAATACTCTGACAATCGTGTGTGTTTGAACCCAAATGGGTAATACAATTTCGAAAAAGAAACTGGCCCACAATTGGAACAATTGGTAACCTGTTTACTTTCACTCATATACTTCCTATTGAGCTCTCACAACCCAGCCACTTAATCTCCTCTCCAGGCTTAACTGAACTAAAATTGCCATTTCACCCATTTCTATCTACTCTTCAACTCTCGAAATTGCCTTAAATAACAACCTCGTGAGTTAAATTATGACGTCACCCTGCTGTTGCTCTATTTAAGACCGGGAGCAAGAGGAGAGCCTGACCATTCTGGCAAATTGCCCGATGATGCTGGATGTAATTACCAGCGAAACATTGTACTCAAAAATTTAAATGATGTTGATTCACTCTTCAACACACCGGTGGGCTAAAGTAGTGAACTATTTGCCCTTTGTAAACGTGACATTTTTTACTGTTTGGCCATGTCGGGTGGTGGAGGGTTACGACACATTTATAAATAACGCCATCTAACCCAAAAACATTTATTATAAACCTCGTGGTTGTCCATTAACTGCTCGACTGACAGCGTAGTGGCTGTCCGTAAACTGCCCTGACAGCCTTGTGGCTGACCCCTGATCACATTCCACGTCATGCCCACAAGCTGTAGGGGTGGGGCTCTGTCCGTCCACTCAGTGGTGCTGTAACATTCACATTCAGCACCATGAGTCGGGAGCCTCATCTCTACAGTTTCCCGTTGTGGTGACACATCCCTTTATCGCATAGCTTCTCATTCCTTTCTAATGAGGCAATACTTTCATAAGGATTGTGTTTCACTGAAAATGCAATGATGCACAACTTTGTTAAATCGGCATGTAAACACAAGGAACAGTGATGTTCTTACCTCAGCAACAGCTTTAATAATGTCTCCTTTCACCATCTGAGTAAAGATGAACACACCAAGGTCATTCAGCGTTTTGTGAAATTCTGATTGACACCGTTAGATTGCCTCTTCCTGTTCATGTGCTTGAGTTTTGGTTCAAATGCAGCACATGAATCGATAGCAACCTAGGAGCAAAATTGAGCCATGTGTGCATGCTGGTATTCATGTAAGTGCGTGCCAGTATTTGTGTGTGTGCATGTGTGTGCATGTGTTTGTGAGAATGCTAGTATATGTGTGTGCATGCCAATATTTGTAAGTATGCATGCCAGTATTTGTAATAATGAATGTGTGTGCATGTCAGTGTTTGTGTGTGTGCAGGTTAATATATGGAGTCACACCACTGCTGATTCTCTAGATCAGGGGTGTCAAACTCAATCAGAGAGTGGACCAGTTTGGATTCAAATGCACCTCATGTGGGCCACACCACTGGGCCTATGAAAATAAAAAGCATAATAATACGATATTCATTTACCAATTCAAAATCCGAAAGTGCGGGAAAAAGAAAGTTGAATGATTTTTTGTAACAAATCCCCCGCTTCAATGTTGGGTTTAAATTCAGGTTGAATTTAGGTAGAAGCTTTAAAAAATATAAGTCGTGAAAATTATTGCACATGGTGGGCCGGAGGAAGGGGTATGGGGGGCCGGGTCCGGCTCGAAACGATGGTTGCAGACAGCTGGGTAAGCAAGGGGTTGGACAAACAAAACCAAGGGGCTGCAACGGCCGTAGTGCACTGGCCCACGGTATTCTCAGGGCCACACCGCGTAAGGTGCGACCCCCACGCATGCGTGGGTCCATACACGTGTGACCCCTTATTGTGGGTCCGTACGCTTGAGTCCGTATGTGTGCAGCCTTCTCTCTGCGATGAAGAAGCACCATTGTCTTCAATGTCAGCCTACTATGCAGTATGCCAAGGCAGTACTCAAAATTAACATTGTGCATATTTGCGATGCGGGGCTTGAGCGGTGGGATCGTTTCCACTCCGTAGTGGATCCCTGGTCCCTGCAGAGCAGCAAATGACTCGCTCAGAGCAGGCCAAGTGAGGCACCCCACAGTTCACGCTCTGTAACTGCCGGAAGCACCCTGGCTGAGCGCTGCCTGAGTTGTCTATGATTCATTTCGCTTTGCCGCACGGTGACAATTTACACCCAGTGCTTGCGCCAGTACTCCACTAGCAACGCCGTCCACACTCAGTGCCCCATGTACGTTGCTGTAGACTCTGCCGCACTGTCCCGATACTTACGGTTTTGTACATCTTGCGGATTTTAACGACGTCCAGTGGGCTGAGGCAATCCCGCTGGCTGACAGTGGTTGTGTCTGGTATAGGGATGATCGTAGGGCTAATCCCATCACCGGAGAAGGCGTCCCTTCAACATAAATACACAGACATAATTTGGTGAAATGAGCTGATGTACTCACTCTGTACACTTTAAATCACACAATTCATGGTATTCAGCTAAAAAGGTTTTTCGATGACCATTTAAAAAAGCATCACAAATAACTAACCATTAATCTATGATTTCCAGTGCAAAATAAGGCAATGCATTTAACCATGATCATAACAATTACACACTTCAACTTAAGTGTTTATTATCAATATCCTTCAAGGGTTTATCTTAGCACAATGGAGTTGGCTAAACTTCCCAATATAGGGCCACAGATCATGGGCAACGGTTGACGCTGTTCCTGGCTGCCTTTCCAATTGTCTGTGGCTTTCTGCACGTCCGCAAAAACTGTGCACATTACACATTCCTCAGCATTTTGAAAATCAATTTGAATGAATTATGGTTTGTAAAATTAATAATCGTTATTAATTATCATGCAGAAGATGTAATCAGTTTGCTCTGTACCTGTCTTCTAAATAGGACCTATGAGCTGGGCGAGGCTGAACTAAAACGTGGATTCCTGCAGTCATGAAAGCTTCAAATCAAGATTGAACCGCCTCTACAGGGAGGGTTTCCACACAACTGTTAGATCTTTTAACAGACTGCGAGACAAGAAGGCTCACTTGATCGAGTCTCTCACCTTTCTGAAGAGATGCCGCGACACCAAGGTAATACCGATCACTTTTACACTCACATCTGCTGCTGTCACTTCTCCTAATGCTAAACGGATCTTGTTCAGGGCTAGCCTAGCCCTAATCTCAGAGAGAATAAGACTGCTCCGATTTGAAATTGATAAAAAAAATACGTGACTTTACCAAAAGAACCAAAGAGTATGGATTCTTGCAGTCACAAAAGCTTCAAATCAAGATTAAGCATTATTAATCAATCAGTAATTATCCAACAAGAGAGTGTGCCACAATGCTTCAAGTTATTGAAACCGTTCCCAGCACACTTCGCGCCCGTCTCCTTACTCCCACGCTCCACTGTTTCACAGAACAACCCTCAGAGTAGGCAGTGGGCAGCGTGGCACAGAGCTGAACAAGAGAATGCATGCCCAGTATGATTCATTACGAGTGAGGCTGTTCAGGGAGCTGTGAGCAATGACACTGGCTCGGGCTGTAAAGCCACGACCTGGTGAGATCATGAGAGGCTACCTGCCGTAGTGAGTGATGCTGATGTAGTCGTAGGGAAGTTCACAGTCGTCAGTATCCAGCAGTTGAAACTGGCGTTGTTCACCTGGAGCAGAAACCACCTGTCAGTCAGACACTGATCCAATTTACAGGGTGTGGTGGAGTCACACTTATCATCACAGAGGCTGTGATCTCAGTGGTTTTGAAATCTCTCAATACCAAGACATTGCTTATAATTTGCATCAACACAACATTCATATACATCAATGGTAATGTGGTCAAAAAAAATTGTAACAATCTTTATGTTTCCACTAAATCTGAAAAAAACCTAAGCCACCCTGCCAACACGTGAAACCAGACCCATGGTCTTATAAAACGAAACAAAACTATTTTATTTACCAGATAAAGCCCGCTGAGCTATGATATATTTATTACAGGTGACCTGACCACTTACGATAGCTCATCAAAGTGGTTTATATCACCACACGTGGGAATTTATAGTCACAGCCAAATTATCTAAACTATTTTTTCTAATGTTGAGGGCAACAGCAAATGGATCAGAACTTCCACGTGGCCACCAGGGGAAGAGTGAACTCGCAAAATCCAAATATGCAGCCAGCATTATCAGGGTTGGAATCGAAATCACGACCTCCTGCGTACCAGGCTGCAGATAACATCTCGCTATCGCGGCAAACCATTATACAACACAATTTACATAAGTAAGCACAGACACCATTGCATGTTGGGTTCAAGATGGGCCCACATAATGTAGCTATTAATGACATATTTTTACATGTGTGACGTGTCGGCTTTCGCAAGTGCAACTAACAGAACATGCCCCTAGATCTTTGTCTTTGGTCCTGGCCACCTGCTTACCAACCCTGTTTTCAACGTAAGTGCTAAAAGACCAAGAAGTGATCATACTGCTTCAAGTGCCACAATGTGTAGGAAGGTGATGACACTAAAAACCAAATTATAATTGTTACGGCACTTGGCAGCAGGTCATATGGAGCGCCTGTTATCACCGTGGATTGACGATCAAAATGAGTGCCACATTCCTCTCAGTTTAGTGGTGATCCAGGTAAAGGGTACAAAGTTTGTTTCAGGACTTAAAGGCCGAGGGTGATGAATCAGGGTGTCATTGCAGCTTTCAAAGCTATCACATCTCAAAAAAAGGCATGGACATTTTTTGTAAGGATAATGCAAGCAGGGAGTGCAGTGCAATCCTACAAACAACTCGACCTAGAAGAGAAGAATAAAGCTGTGCAACATTCATTGGATGTGTCTCTGTGGCTCCAGTACCTCACTCCACCCCTAGGAAGCTCCACAACCATCACTGGTTGAGTGTTAACTGACCCTAACCATTTCTTTACTTATAGCTACAGTTAATCACCAGTGTTTTTCTATTAAATATGTAGGTTAACAAAGTGTGTTATGTTAAGTATTTACATTGTTTCTTGTGGGTAAATAGGTTTTGCTTAATGTTGCTTCATTTAAAGTCGCATTTTCCCCAAACGCAACCCCGACGTTAAGCGACGAGTGACTGTATCTTGGCATACCTACTATAATCACCCAGGAATGTCCTTAACGCTCGTGACGTCACTCCACGTCGACCAGCCTCCATCATTAATATTTATTAACAGGTGCCGTCCTGAAAATGGACACCCCCCCATCCTTCCTCATTACGGCTGACGTCACTCCATATTAGGTACCCCCCCCCGCGTCATAACGATGACGTCACACCACAGGCAAAAAGGTGGAGCGGAAACTTAAATTTGTTTAGGCACAATTGCTTGCACTTTGCTACTTAAAGTATTCTACGCCTCACCTTATGTAACGTGCTAAAAACGTCTGTGTGTGTCTCCAGCAGCGTCCACATCATTCCACATGCAGCCCCACCCCTCATAAATATTCATGTATCGCTACATTTAATTACAAACGCTGATGAAGTTGGAGAAACTATTGCTCCTTTTGTAACGCCAATTCACCCATCTTTATTGAGAGTTAACCATAACATTAATGCAACGTCACATCACACTGCATTTCCTGGCTTCATTTCCTTCTTCACCACGTCTAACAAAAGGGAGGTCAACTTTATGTTTCCAAATTATGCTGAAATATAAATGAATGCTAAAATCAACATCTTGCAACTGGTTTGCGGCCATTGACTCCAATAATAATTGTTTGCAACTCCGGCGAGCTAAACATAACTACGTCTCAGAGCACTGCACCTAAAGTCTGAGTGTCCTTTGAATACAGTGGCACAGCGGCATTGATTCAGCTGTTTTATCACATTGTTGCGTGCAACAATCACTGCCATCACTGCAGTCTAATGCTGTGATGTGTTTTATGGCTTCCTTTTGTGCTACATTAACTCACATTAATGAAGTGCTACAGTTACATGCAGTACGGTGTTTTATGACATGTTTTCCCCAATATTCCCCGTCATTACATTCATGCTAATTTATAAACGTGAACTACTGACGTCACTCCGCAAGGAGAAACGTGGAGCGGAAATGAAAATTTGTTTAGGCACAAATGACATTTTTTACGTCCATTGTCCCCTCTTTATCGAGAGCTAACCAGACAATTAATTCCACGCCACATCCCACTGCATTTTCTGCCTTAATTTATTTATTCACCACGTCAAACTAAAGCAAGGTCAACTCTAGGCTTGCAAATTATGTTAAAATAAAATGTCTCTGCTGTTTTGCCACCATTGCCTCATTCAAATTGTTTGCTACTCCGGTGAGCTACAGCACACCATAAGTAGTCTCAGAGCACTGCACCTAAAATAATTTAATTTATTTAGGCGCAAATTGCCCCTTCTTTATAGAGACATTTCTCGGTGATTTTGCGGTTATTGTATCGATTTCCTATTTATTTCAACCCCAGCGACCGAAAGCAGAAGAGAATAAAGTATTAAAGCAGTGAATTTGAACAAATTAAAGGTCAGTTATATACAGTGCTACAGTGACATGAAGTTAGGTTTTTTATGACATAGTTTTGTGCAAGATTCACTGCCATTAATACAGTGCTACAGTGAAATGCAGTTAAGTGTTTGATGACATACTTTCGTGCAAGATTCACTGCCATTAAATTTACACAAAATACAATTATACTTTGCTAAAAATGTTCGTAAATATTACCACTTCCGTCCTAGGACGGGCAAAGATGCTAGTTTGTACAGATTAACACGACTACTGCAGATATAATCTCAAAAAGTAATAATATAATTAGATTCGTTTTCCTAATAATAAATAAATCATGTTTATTCTTGCCACTAGTGCTGCCCTGATATTTTAAATTACACAATAATAAATATCATATCACGATTATTGTAATATTCATTAACTTTTTAATTGTATTTTTGTGCTTTGATGGACAAGTACAAACAAAAGTTAGTTGTCTCCAATTGCCTCCCATACGTGTTCTAATAATAGCAACTTTGTAACCTATAATATCTACAATGCTCATCCTGTCAGAAAATTTAATTGTTTTGAAAACGTTATGCAAAAGCACTTATTTAATTTACTGCTGCTTGTTTTAGAACATTGTTTTTGTGAACTTTAATTATTATTACAGACAGACCTCTCAGCCCGACCCCGCAGAATGCTGATTAGTTATCGCTTTTTGTCCTGGAGAACATTTTGACAAAAAAAAAGAAATCTAAAAAGTGCTTAAGCTCAGCCAATGAGAGCGACGTACGCTGAGCCAACCAGACCCCACCCCCAGCGACTGAATTATCATGATTCGTGATCACAATTACACTGAACAAAAATCTACTTGTTTAGCCAGGTGAGAACTCACAAGGCAAGGATAGAGTATCAGGCTCCACCTAGAATAAACCTCACCACAGAGATTTAGACTGAGGGCACCACTAAGATCATGGAGGTCCTGGAGCTCTACTCTGAGAATGACCCCGGACTAGGAGCGCAGCAGCACCTGCAACCTCGTCTCCCCCACTGGCATGTACTGTACGAGTACGGTAGCATGTACTCGTGAGTACAGTGCATAATAATGATGTTATTATAATCAATTATTACTTTTATATGTTACATACTAGCAGGTGTACCCGTTCTTCACACGGAAAATAATAGTTTATTCCTAGTTTAAAGTTTATTCAATGAACGAATATAGATGTTGCATGGTTCTTTGCGTTACCCGAAAAACCACGCGTGGAGGTGACCATGTGTCGTTTCTTATGGGAGTTAAATTTATCACGGCAGGCCCTCTTGACTACTGCCGTGTTTGAGCATTGTAATGTATGGGGAGTTATATTTGTCCCGGCAGGCCCCTTTTGGCTACTGGCGTCATTGGCATAACATTGTCCCTAAAGCAATGCTTCTTTGTAGACAATATTGCTAGTCTTTCCTGTAGGAGCTAGTATGAACAAATTGTCTTTGTAACTAACTCTAGAGCAAGCCAAATAAAGTTGACCATGTGAAAAGCATGAATGCCGTAAATCGATTCCAGCTACTTTGAATGACTGTCCCTGAGCTTTGGTAATAATCACTGCCAAACAGGATTTAACTGGGAACTGCATACGCTTTAACTCAAAAGGGTAATCACTAGGAATAAGTGGTATGCGAGGTATGAATACGCATTGTCCTGCAGCACAGCCACTGAATATTGTCGCCTCTATGACATAAGGTTTTAAGCTGCGCACTTGTAGCCTGGTTCCATTACAAAGAGTTGGAGTGTTGAGATTTCGCAGAAACATAATTGGGGTCCCGAGCTTGACTTTTAGTCTGTGAGGCCTGGTGGATTCAAGGAGTTAAGAAACTCTACAGGGTAGTTAAAAGCGTCGTCTTCTTTCAATGCAGTGTATCCTGACTCATAGATCTTCTCCTCCCCTGGAATCTCACTTATGAGGTAATAATTTATTGCAGATGCTGTGTCATTCTTGGGTGTCAAGATGGCTCGTTCACAAAGCCACTTTTGAGACATGAGGTTGATCTGGCATACACCTGGAAATACGTTGGTGATTAATTAATCAAGGGTAGTTACCAATCGGCCCATACTGGTGGTAATGTTAATCTCCCCGTTATCCTCAGGTATTTTGCTATCACCTATATCTAACAGTGTGTTTGCAAACTCGCCACT